AATTAGGTGAAAAAAAAAAAATTTTATTTTATAAATTAAAAAAAGTTAGGAAAAAAACAAAAAAAAAAAAAAAACCAAAAAAAACCCAAAAAAAAAAAAAATTTTGAAGGAAAAAAAAAAAAAAAAAAAAAAGTAGAACAAAGTGGTATTGGTAAAATTGCAAATTTTGGTACCTGGCGATTGAGGCATTCTATTATTATGATAATAACCATTTGTGTTGTGGCTCTGTAAGGTTGCATGTAAATTGAATAAATATTATAGACAACACAACACAAATACTAAAATCAAATGAGCACGTAAGTGGTTCAAGTTACCATACCTTTTTTCTTCTCGAGGACTTGTTTTTTCCAAATACTGCACTATCAGACTCGACTTCGCTCGAATAATCTCCATTATGATTGTTACCATTGGATGAGTTCTTTGAATTTCTTTCGTATTCGCCAGCATTCGAATGTAACTCTTCTTCGTATTTAGAATCACTGTCTCCTGTTGATGCCGTCCGGATTGTTTTCGAGGGGTTACGAGAATCTTGCACAATTTGCTGATAATGAAGTTGCTATGATTAATCATAAAAAAAAAATGTGAAATGACATGTGCGTCAGAGTTGCGATTAATAATTAAAAGACCTAATCTTATTGATAAAAGGTGATTAAACAAATAGTTTTATAAAGTTCATAATGGTTAAAACGGTAGAAGTAATTCTTAAAAGTAACTTCTTCCTTATAAAATTTAACACATACAACATATGAAGGTGAGGTTCTAGAATGTGTACAAATATATCAATACTCTTTGTGTATTACATAAAGAGAACATGACCTCATCGATTACCTCTCTAAATCGTATGAACTAGCTGGGGAGATCGACTGGCGTTGTGATGTTGAGGGTCCATGAGAATACTATTTGACACGAATAGAAAAGTAATTTAGAATAGTGAGATCATATACAGAAAATAAATGAAGATACTAACATAGATTATTGCAGGGTCTGTAAAAGGTGATCTAGGTAACAAAGCCGTAGTGAGCATCTGGCTTTGAGTTATCTCATTATTGTTTAAATCAGGTGTATTGCTTTTCGAAAATGGCTTAGCATCTCCCGTATTCTTTACGTTGTTTTGAGAAGGTTGTGCCGGTCGTTGTTGTTGAAATGTATTTTGTTGATTCGAAAGAATCTGTATATCTTTGATATCTGTCCCGGACACACCATATATGGCGAGCTGTTGAGTACGACCACTTTCTTTATTGTCAAGTTTTACTGAAGACAGGATCGAAGGCAGATAATGATGAATCAAGAGGTTTTTATCAAAGAACCTGATGCAAAGTGCCAACAAAGTGTAAACGCAATCGAATTACTTTATAACACATACCGTTTTTAAGTGTTAATAAGTGCGTATGTGAATCGATATGTGACACAATTCCTTCTAAAGAAGAACTATTGTTGAGCTCAACACGTACTCCAAGGCCAATAAAAGCTTCCGCCATGCTGTGTTTAAGTTATTTCACAATATTAAAAACTTTTTTTTTTTTGTCTCTCTCAAGGTGAATAAAAAAAAAAATTTTTTTTTTCAAAATGTGTGAGAACGAGTTTTTTTTTTATCTATAAATATTTACTGAAAAGAGTATGGGGTTATGTATATTTTTATATGACTAATAATTTCATTGGACGGGGCGTTAGTGTAGATTCTACAGACTGATGCAATATCATCTCTACGCACAACTTATTAATATCGATCGATGCAGATGTGACTGAGTTGCGTTGCAATAGAACAAACATTTCTTTCGTGTTATACATGTAAAAGTCTTTGTCACAATCAAATAATAGGTAAATATGGTTCTTAACAAATTGATATTTAGATGTTGCATGGAACATGAGTAATCGAAAGTTATTAATTTTGTTTTTTGTTTATTTAGGTACCATTATTTTTTAGTAAATAAATTAATTACAATACATTATACAACTAATTCGATATAAAAGTTTAACATATATGAAGGTAGGACTCGAAAATCAAACTCGCATAAACTTGCATGAAATTTCAAATATCATTGGAAGTATAATAAATTATTTATATTATAAAACAATAAAACTAGTTGTTATTATATTATACAGTTAGACTCACATTTTTTATATAAAATCCTTAAAATAGAAGTATATTTTTTAGATTTGTTTATTAATAGTCATAAGAAAAAAATATTTTTTTATAATTATTATCATATTTTTAAATAAAATTACTATGGATTTCAATTATATAATTATAAATAATTTTAATTTTAATTTATTTATTTATTTATTTTTAAAAATCCTTTGTCAAGCTAGGTATATGTACTTTATTAAACATGTGTATACTTTATATTAAAGATATATCACTAAAGCTAAGTCTCTACCTAACTTACTCATCTCTATTTTAAGAATTATTAAAACTTTAAGTGTAACTTCGGGAGTGATTTATTGTTCTATTAGTAGTTCAGATAAAGACTTTTCCAACTATTAACTTTATTGTCTGCAGGTCACTACTGCAGATCACTCTGTGAGGTTCTGACAGAGCTTAAAATCCAACCATTTCATCCCATACTCTACTCTTCTTGTTAAAATTTCTTGAAGGCTTTCATCTTCAAGGTTTCTTTCTTCAGATAATGGATTTCTTTTCTTCGAGGATATAGTTGATGAAGATGAAAAACGTTTAGTTTGCGATTTGATGACCTGGGCTAATATTAATAAGGCTCCCGTTTTAAGTTTGGATATGCCGAGCGGTGTTAATGGAAATACTGGTATGCTGAGAATTCATGAATCCTGCTACTATTATAGCAATATATTTAGCATTTATGTATCATACAATGTAGGCAACCCGGGTAATCCCGTTCATCATATTCATCCTAAGTGGACATTATGTCTCGGTGCTCCTAAAAGTGGTTGTAGATCTCGCGCGGTGACAGGCGAGCTTTTTTTAGCCGATATCGGCATTCCACGGATCTGTTGGAAGAGAATCGGTGTGAAAGGCTGGGGCATGCCCTGGGGAAGTAAATATTTGATCGGGTTAGAATATGCCACATAACGATGACATCAATGGATTTTTTTGTGGATATTCTCGAACTTTGTTGCCTCTTTTAGTGAGGTTTCATGTTATCTCGTAATGTTAATGTTATGTACAAAATAAAATTCATTCCCTTGATGTCTGCCCAACATATTATATTCCCTAATTAAATTTAGCAGAATCGAGGATCATATTACTTTAATCTTATTATTTCGCACGAATTTTGTTTAAATTATTTCCACTTTCCTATTCTATCTTTTCTTGTAAATTAACTTAGCTACTTTATTTCAATTTTAATCGTTTTTCTTTAATTATATTAGCAGAATAGGAAAAAGAACTTAAATGGATAGTCATTATCAAAAAGAAAGAAAGAAAAAAAAAGCTAGAAAAAGACGAGTCCAGATTAAAAGATAAGATCAAAGGTTACAATTTTAGATTTGCGATGATAGCAAAAATATTGGCATCAAAAGTAGATGACAATAAATTTGAGAAATCAGAATATCGTTAAAACTCGTTTTATATGATGAAAAAATTATTGTTAAGATGATAATCAAATTTTTATTGTATCATTCTTGATAATATTTAATAAAATAAGTTAACTGTTTAATTATGCTCTTTTAGGGCATCTTTCATTATACAGTATCTTTTTTTTTATATCTTCTGTTGGATTAGTTGTATATGTTTTATTAAACCTTTTATAAACTTTAAGTACAACTTTGAAAATGATATGTCATTTTATTAATAATTTAAATAAAAACCCTTTCAACTTTTAATGTTATTATCTATAGGTTATCACTATAGATTATTTATAGAAATTCTAATGTAGATTAGAATCCAATCACTTTATATGAATTCTATTTTATTTATTAAGATCTTTATAAAATTTTTATTTTTTACTCTTTTTATTCTTTTAATTTTTTTTTTTTAAATCTTTTGTTTCATTTATTTTAATGGTCTTTTAAGCTTTTTATTTTTTTTTATTTTTTAATCTTAATCTTATTTTATATTATTATTATTTTTTTTTTGAGTATCCATAGTCAGACTAAATTGTCAGTTTATTAATCAATTGAAAACATAAGTACATTTTTATTCAAGCAGCATGCTACATACTATAGTCAAACTATTATTCTAATCTAATTAACTTGCCATAAGCATAAAAGCCTTTAAGTTTAACCTTGGAAACAATATTTCACTTTACAATATCTTTGGATAAAAACCCTCCTAATCTATTGCATTATTGCTAGCAGGTTGTCACTACTATATATTATATCAAGTCACTGAAATACAGGAAACTACAAAAGGATAAATTGAAAAAAGAAAAAGAGTGATATCTAAAAATGTTTAAACAGATAACAAGAAAATAAAAAAAAATAAAAATTGAAAAAAAGAATATTTTCAGCTTTCTTCAAAGACCTGCTTCTTAAGACTTCTTCTCAATAAAAAATGTCTGATTGAGATATTCTTTCTTTTTCTGATCATTTGAGGAACTTATCTATTTTTATCTTGATTTCTTTCTTGCATAACATTTGAGAACATTTATAATCTAATGGGAACCTTTATTTCTAGGACACACTTGGTCCCAACCTTTTTTGAACAGTGATTTTTTATTCATCTGTGATAAAGAGGTGATTTATGATCTTATTCTTATTTTATAATTTTTTTTATATATTTTATATATACAGTATATATATATATCACTAGTCGAAAAAAAATTATTTGGCAT